GGAAATTGCGTTGAACTTACAGTTTTTTAGAAAAATAAAAATATGTGGGGAGGATATTGTTTGCATCGGCAAGTAAATGTTCCATTCCATCCCGATATATCGGCTCAGGGTGTCACAAGAGGGATTCCCCAGCGCAGTGCAATGTGTGGGCGCCGAGTTTCACAGAAATGAACGCATGATCTCCGCACATCTCTTTTTGAACTTGGCAGAGAAGCTCCTCCTTCAAATCAAGACGTGATAAACGTTTAAGAATAGAGCATCAAGAGCTTCAAAACAGAGCTCAGCGGAGTAGCTCACATGATCAAAGGTAAGAGGCAGCTCCTTTAATTGAATGACGGTATTTTCATCATCACACTTGATTTAACGTATCAAGTAGCCGCTGTTCGTTTTCGTCAGGGGAAAACGCCTGGTCTCACATATTCAAATCAGCATCAAGTTTCACAGGTAAAATCTGAAGATAACATTTATTACATTACAGCTCGCTGTAAACGAAGGTTTCCTTCATCTTATCGCTGAACTTGTAGCCTAATTTAAATCTTGACAATTGATGTCTTACAAAACAGAGAGCATTAAGTTAAAGACAAGTGAGAAGATGCCTTATTAAACCACCATGCTTCGCAGTTAAAATACTTTCTTGTAGTTTAATTCTAGCTACACCTTGTGTGTTTTTTTTATTCATTAAAGCATCGTAAGTGAGTGACAAATGAAACCCGTGCTGAAGGTGGTTACTATAATTCTCCAATTCAACCCCCTGCAGCCTTTCCTTGAAAATGAGCGCTGTCAAATGTCTAGAAACCAAAATGCATTTAAAGTTAGTGCTAATATTACAGACTGGGCTGTACGTGGAGATCACTATCCTTTGCATATGTGACATTATTACTAAAAGAAGTGTATTTGAAACGGAACTGACAGCTGCAATAACTGTTTTTAGCAGAACCCGGTGCCAAACTTTTTGCAGGGAAAACGACTGAGTCTCAAATGTAAATCCGCATCACTTTACTGTGTCCACAGTTGTTTTACTTGATGTTATTTTGCAGTGATGAACCTGGATGAGGAAAACAGCGCGTCGGTCAGTTGCGGCAACGGCAAACTGAGGCAGTGGCTGATCGATCAGATTGACAGCAGGAGATATCCTGGCTTGGTCTGGGAAAATGAAGAAAGAACTATTTTTAGGATTCCGTGGAAACACGCAGGGAAGCAAGACTATAACAGAGAGGAGGATGCTGCGCTCTTCAAGGTTAAGACCATCCCACTTGTTTGCTCTCACTGCACCTGAAATATCTGACAACTGCATCTGGAACATGTAACTGCAACATGCTTACATTTCCAGAATAAAGTTGTTGTTCGAGATGTGCAATATTAGCTTGACAGGGCTAGTTCTAGTTGTACATGAATTAATCTTTAAAGCCATAACCCTTTCAAATGCTTTGCACATTGCATAAAAGGGTCGTTTAAATGGATCTAATCTTGAGTGACTGTTTCAGGCATGGGCAATGTTCAAGGGAAAATATAAGGAAGGTGTGGACAAGCCAGATCCCCCCACATGGAAAACCAGACTTCGCTGTGCTCTTAATAAAAGCAATGACTTTGATGAGCTAGTAGAAAAAAGCCAGCTTGACATCTCAGAGCCCTACAAAGTCTACAGAATCATTCCAGAGGGAGTCAGGAGGGGTAAGTATCCAAATACCGTCCATGCAAGATGTAGTAGAGCTTTGTGCAAATTACATTCAGCAACCTATATATGTAGAGGGAGAGGTAACTAGGTTTGATGGTAGAAATTAAATGGTTTATTGTTGGACTTTGATAACAAAGTACAAAGTATTTAAAGCCAATCTATAACTATAGGTTCACTTGCACGGACAGGTTATTGCTTCAATTTACAATGCATGTCTCATTATTTATAGACTAGCTGCAATTTTTCACATATATATGCACCACTGCAGTTGATTCTGATGAGGCAGGAAGCACAAAGGAAGCCAAAGCATGTACCAAAAAGGCCGTAGTGCTTTTTTTAGAGGGCTTCGGTTACTAAGTGCAGGGTGCACATAACACAACCAGACAACCTCCAGCCTTGCATAACTAAGTCTCTGCCATAGTACAACAGTTTTTATTACACCAGAGCAGTTCTCTCTGTCTGCGCTAATGCATAATTTTCAAACAAGAATCTCAGACAAGAGGCACTCACATGCATTCGCTTTGCAAATCACCATGTCAGTCAAGTTAAAATAGCACAACATCACAAGTGCACAAAGCACATTCACACTTTATACCTGCCACAGTGAACCAGAGGTCACCAGAATATTGTACTTCATATATTCTCACATTCATTTCTAATCTGTGAAACAATCTTGTAAACCTTTAGTATTGTTAAAGGTGCTGGAGAATGAACTGTTATTCTGGATAAACAATGTCATAATGCATGGCTAATACTGAGGACACATGATCTGACAAATCTATTTCTGTTTTTGTACATTTATAGGAATGAAAATAAGCAGTACAGAAGAGATAAATGCCCTTGGCTATATTCCTCCATATACATCTCTGCACAACCAGGTTAGCAAATTTTGTGGTTGCTGCATTCTAAACCAAGTCATAAATATAAGTAAAAAGAAAAAACCTACATGTCTGAGTGCCCATCGCTGCGCTCTCTTCTCAGGTGCCTGGTTATATGGTTTCTCCAGAAAGAAGGGACTGGAGGGATTACTCACCAGCTGAACAGCAACCTATTCCTCCTCCACATCACCACGGGCTGCACACAGAGCTGCAGTATAGTCAGTGCCACTACCCAACGCCGATCAGCCGGACTTGGCCTGGGTTACACACAGAAAATGGTAAGATGGACATCATGAATGAAACATTTAGAGATCACACATCAGAATGACGATAATGTCGGACTCAGATTTCATTTGCTCATACAGTAGTTGTCACCTTTTATTTGTTTTATTTCATTTATCATAAATATTATCCAAATAACGGCACAAAATTCTAACCATACAATACATGGCTAGTCTTTTTTTTTTAAATCACGTCAGGTCAGGAAGATGGGATGAAGTTGTCACTTTACCGAGTGCTTGTAATTGTGCTAATCTTTGACTTGTAGGTCATTAGATAATTCAAAATGTTAGCAGTTATCACAATCTTTCACATATTCTTTACAGCGGAATCCGGGTATGATCTACACAGCTACTACACATGCAGCTTTTTTTTATGCATAAGGAAAATGAAAAATGTTCACACTTTGTAAATATCATAAAATCAGATAAAAATAAGAAATATACTTTAAATATTTATATTGTGATATTAGGTTTGTGAAGCCAAACACATGATCTCAAACTGAAAGAACAAAACAAGCCTACAGCAGTTGTTTGAGTGAAGTTAGTATTGTATACAACTGGAAAATATGTGAACTGTGACTTGATCAGTCTGTGGTAGACTACGTGGTTGGTCTACCACAAGGCCCAACGAATTTACAAGATTTTTCACACATTCTCCAGACTTCTTTTCGTTTGAGATTAGACTTCAGTAAAGGAAAGACTAACTCATAAACACATATCAATACTTTCATATTCAGTTCTCTAATTATGACCTGTTTTTATTTCATATATTCTACAAAGGGTTTCAGTTTTCCTTCCACACCCAACCGCCCATGTATACAATGGATCACAACAGTGCCACAACAGGTAAGCAACCAGTGCTCTAAGACACATACTTGCACTAACGTTTACTGTAGTTGCATACTTTAAAAAAAGTTTACAATTTTGAATATATTTACATTTACAGATAATACTATAAACACTTTGTTCAACCTTTACTTACAACCCTATTCCAAACTCAGAACAGCAGGTTGAGATATTGAACAGGAAGGTTTTTTTTTTAAACCTGTCACATTATCATAGATCAAATTAAAAAAAAAAAAAAAAAGGGCTAGGATGATGAGAAAGACGCAGGAAATACCGGATATGCCAAGAATTATGATGTTAATGAGGTTTACAGGGATATATCTGTTAACGTCTCGCTTCTTCCTTCCAGATTTCAGCCTGTATGTGTCCCTATACTACAGAGAGTCTTTGGTGAAAGAAGCTACCACTACCAGTCCTGAAGGTTGTCGGATCACATCTTCCTCCTCCTCCTCTTCCTCCTCTTCTTCCCCATGCCCAGAGGACACATTTCACAGTGGGGCAGAAATAATCCTTTTTCCATCCCCATACCCTGAGTCTCGGAGGCAGGGCGCCGAGATGCTACCTAATATACTGGAGAAGGGGGTGCTTCTGTGGATGATGCCTGATGGGTTGTATGCTAAGCGCCTGTGCCAGGGACGAATATACTGGGAAGGACCTCTGGCTCCATATATGGATAAACCTAACAAGCTGGAGAAGGAGCAGCCATGCAAGCTGTTTGACACCCAGCAATTCCTTATTGGTAAGCGCGAATAATGCTGCTGTGCTTTTTTGTTCACAATGACAGAAACATCTGCATGATGCAACCCAATAGAATACTTTTAAAACCAACTTTAGTGGAGTTTATAATGTTTTTTTTTTCAGATTATGTAAGACTTTAACTCCATCTTTATCATTTATGCTAAGAATATATACACATCTAAATGGTTTATATCACTATTATGTGCTTCTGAGCAGATATTTTAAATATTTCATTAATGTATAGTATTTTCAACAGTGATTACTTCCTGAATGAAGACTGTACTGTGATTATGCTTTTGGTTTAGGCAATGATTTTGGCTTTTAGTGCTCATTACATTCTTGAAGTGAAAAATACCAAGAATTCCCTGATAACCATGCGGCTCCAGCTGTGCTCAGTATGACAGTGACTCTGGTCATGTTGATAATGGCTGTAATGATGGCGATGATAATGGTGAAGGAGAGGCTGCAGGTGCTTTAGCTGGGCAAGTCCCTCTCAGTGTTGAGGTAGCATTAAGAAACAAGTCAGATTCTCAGCAGGGGGCCAAAGTGTGTGAAGTCCCCACCCACCTCCTGTGGTCCACCACAGTATGAGAAGATAATGTTTTCTGTGCCGTTTCACACTAAAATTTCCATCATCCTTATCAGTAGTTTCCAGAAAAGTTTTCAGGATTTTTTTCTTTACTGTGTATTTTACATATGATATGCTGGGATGTGTGATAAGTAGCTCATACTGGGCTTTTTTTTTCTTTACTACACCCCTTCTATTTTCTCGCTCCTCTTCCCTCAGAGCTTCAAGATTTTGCCCATAATGGCCGACACCTACCGAGACACCAGGTGGTGCTATGTTTTGGAGATGAATACCCCAGCCCACAGCACCCAAGGAAGATGATCACAGCACAGGTATGTGTACAATGCAAAATTTCACCTAGTGGTTGGAATCTATTTGTTTGAGCTAAAACATTCTCACATACAGTAACTTCATATTTGATCAAAACTGAGTTAAGACTTGAATCTGACCTTTATGTTTTGAAATGTGTCATTTCTGTGAAAACACCTTTTACATTTACTCTAAGATCAGCAAAACACAGCCAACCTGCAGTGAAAACTAGAACACTAAAACTCTTCTCCTCAGGTTTTGCTTTATGCCTTTGCAGGGCATAACTGAATAATACAGCAGTCACAGATATTTTTCAGATATACGCATACATCCATTTTAGGTGGAGCCAGTGTTTGCCAGAAAACTGGTGTATTATTACCAGCAGAACAATGGCCACTACCCGCGTGCCTATGACCACGTCCAGGAACAGAATGCATCTCCAACAGACGGCTATCCTCCCCAAAGATCTCTACAGCATATTCAGGAGTGATAAGCACACATGCACACACATACTGTACACACACACAGGATGCCATGAATGTGAATATAACCCTCTGACTGTAACACCTTGCGACTGCAGTGCCGTGTACTGTAAATGATAGAAACTGTCATGTTACTGAGGGGTAGAGATGGGGAAGACCCTGTTGTTTTCACTTGCACACCTATGCGTCGCAGTCTTTGTGTCTGTGGAGTAATGTTTTTTTTTTCTTGCTATAAGTATTATTGTGACAGTGTGAAGGATGCGGTTTGAGGGTGGGGGATGAGGGGAGCGGAGGGCGACTGAGACAGGAAGAACTAGCACAGGTGCACAGGAAGAATGGCCCCACAGACAAACACTGATACGTCAAAGGGATAAAACAGAGTATGAATGACTACTCATGGTATTTTCACAGGTAACAGTTGACAGTGTTATTATTGCAGTCATACAGAATTCGTCACTCAAGACAATCAAACGTTACTTTTGAGAGGTTCAAAACCAGCAGAACTTGATGTGCAGAATAAAAATGTAACTTTAGCTGAGCAAGTGAACTGTCAACAGCGTCAGCACTCGGTCTATTGCGTTATTAATTAATTTTTTTTTAACTAACCCAGTCAAACATGAGCATATAACCCCTCTTTATTGGCTTCCAGTTCGTTTTAGAATTGATTTGAAACGCTTGACATTCTTCTTTTAAAGCTTTAAATGGTCTTGCCCCTCTTTACTTAACAGAATCTTTACTCCTCCGTAAGCATGACAGAGTACTCTCCAGCCATCCAGCCAGGTCTCTCTTACGAGTCCTCAGCTCTAGGTGTAAGCAGCGGGGTGACTGTGCTTCTACTGTGGCTGCTCCTGAATTATGGAACAGTTTGCTACTTCATATTTGTTCTATTACTGACCTGGCACTTTTTTCTAATCTAAGAACTAATCTTTTAACACCGTCCTTTAGTTCCCAGTAGTGCCTTGACACCTTTTAATTGCTTTTAGGTATCTTTTATGTGCTTTAAGTTTCTATTTAATGCATTATGTATTTTATGCATTTGCATTTGATTTTGTAAAGCACTTTGGTCAACTTTTAGTTGTGCTTAAGTGTAATATAAATAAATGTTGACTGATTGATGATGTGTTTCATTGCAGAAAAAGCAACAAATGGAATGTAAGAGGGCACATTTACAAAAATCTTACATGGGCAAAATGTATTCTGATTTCTTTACATTATATCAAAATGATGAAAAATATGGAAAAACTGTTTTTGGTAAACAAGATAAATGAACTATTGCTTGCAGTGGATGAAGCTCCTACAGTACATCCCCCTTAAATGCTTTGCAATTTACTGGATTATATTTTTAAGCTCATAATAATTGTTTGAACATTGATAGTACTTTCAAGTCATTCAGGGCTTATGTACATAATTGTCTAATGATTTTTAGCATTAGAAATTAAACCTGTGTATTGATCTATGGGTGCGGACAGTTGTTTTATCAATAATTTGCTGAAAAATATCATTTGACATTTTTTCTAATGATTGCCAGTATTTCAGAAGGAAAATGCAATCTAAAACAATCTGATTAGAAAACGTAATATATAGACATGAGATTTGTGAGTGGGATTTGTAAGTTAATACTTTTTCATAACAAGTGCTCATAAGAAAAAATGGTTAGGGACCAGTGACTTGCAATACATTATCAAACTGCTCAAGGCCTGTTTCACCAGAAACACTGGCCATGATGGGTCATCTTGACCATACTGGACTGAGGGAAGTTGACTGGAAACTCATCCCGTAACTTACAGGGAAACTGTACCTGTTCCTCTTGATCTGAAACCAGCACCCCCACAAATGGGAAGAAAAACTACCTTTGTGGTCTGTGTGCCGGTTGAGCTAAGGAGGAGCTTCTTGGTTCCCATGCCAAAGTTACTGTGCACTGTAGAGGCTATCTGGATGTAAAGTCCATTAAAATCTATCTCAAGAGCTCGACAAAATGCCCATTAACTACTTAAAAATCGAAGACCCAAAATGCGAAATCAGTTGCGGAATTCCTTATTATGTTGACCTCCTAAAGATTAATGCAGCATTAGGAGGGATAAAGGTTGTTCTGTGGTCCAGAGTTTCAATCTCTGCATTTACTTCCTTCACACTTAAACCACATCACTTTCACAATACCTTCAAAAGTCTGACCAGAATCACAAAATCTTTTGTGGGTGTGTGAACCATAAATTCGTTTTCCCCTCAAACATCTGGTCAGTCCCCTTGATTCTCTGCTGGGTGAAACTTGGTTTTGCATTACACTCAGACATATGATTCATTCAAAATCAGGCCCTAACAGTGAAAACCTTACCAAGTAAAAGGTACAGTGTGCTGTTGTGGTAAACATTATGTGTGTATGTGTTTGTGTAGCATGTGTGTAGGTGGGTACATATGTGTCACACACTTGTGGTATTACTGTTATCAGGAATTGACATTTATGGACTCGAGGTAAAACATGTGACTTCCCCGCCTACAACATCAGTGACACAAACACCCATTTCACCGTACAGTTACAGTAAAACATTGCAAGCTACAGAGGAAAATCACAAAATCAGTGTGTATATTGGAAAAAGAACATCATTCTAACATTCTTACACAAAATGTTTTAAGAACAGTAGCTATAACCCAGGAGCAATATGAACTGATTAATATAAAACTGCCACATGAATAAAAGATTTATTTTGAAATGAACTGTTCAGTCTTCTGTTGGTCATGTCTGCTGAGCTGGTTCATTTTGAGTGACCCTGATTTTTAAACAAAGGGAGGAAAAATTAGAGAATCATATATGATAGAAAAAGAAAAGAAAAGAAAAAAAAAACACATTTGCCATGGTGTTTCCCCCTCTGCAGGAAGCCACATCATTTGTAGTCAGGCTTCAGTTTTTCCGCCCATATGAGCCGTTACTCCAGTGACATCATCTGAGCCCCTCACTTGAAGCTTTGGAGTGGGCAGTCTAGTCAACTGATGCCACGCATGTATTCAAAAAAGGTTTTTACACAGAAATGAAACCACCAACAGCAAACCGACTACGTTACTTTCTTCAAAACAAAGTGATTGTCGGTTCTATTGTGACTCGGTGACTATGATGAATTTCACTGACTGGTTGACGGTTTTATCTTCGCATACTGTCCAACAGCTTAAATCTTTACAGTTTCTGCCAATGAAAATGTTTCAAAACCTACTACAACATTATATTTGTTGTGTAAATATCTATCTGATCCTGTTATTGCAACTTTTACCGCTCCTTGAACATGGAGTGTAAACAGTTTGGGGCGTAATATTTAATCTTTTCCTGTTTATACTTTTCAATTTAAATTCTTCAATATTTGTCATAATTTTTCTTCAAATCTGAGCCACATACAGTATTCAGAATGATTTGTGTATCTGTCATTATTTATTTGTTACATGTAGGCTCTAAAGAAGAAAAAATAAGAAAAACCTAGAAATGTTTTACAGATATTTACTGGTTTCTGATATTGTTGTGGTATAGAGCAGTGGCTCCAAACATGAGGGTCAAGACCCCTCACTGAAGTCACAAGTTGAATCTGAAGGATAGAGAGATGATCAACAAGAAATGTTTTAAAGGGTCACAATCCAAACATGTTAGGAACCACTGGTATAGAATACAAGGGGTCACTATGCTAACTCTTCCTCATAGTTGAAACAGGCTTCATAAGAGACAAAGCTACTCTACCCTCGGTCTCCAGGTAATAAAATACTGATGATCCATTCTGGGTCATCATACATGGCTCTGGGAGTTGCATATAACATTCTGTGGGTGGCCATAGCAGCTTAAAAGAGCCTGGTAAAATGCAGTCATGGGGATACTTTATACCCAGCAGGATTTGGCAGATGGCATGAGACACAAAACAGTCAGATGTGAGCTGTAAAATCAATGTACAAAAAAATGATATTGACAATAAAGGTTTTATTTCCTGTACATTGCAAATCTGTCATAAAAGTTCAATTCTTTTGCCTGGCTAGGTTCTCACATATTTAACATATTTTCCCTGAGAACATACTCATAGTAATTCTACACTAACCTCAGAGTCACTGACCCCAGTTTGTTTTTACCGCTGCTCAGGACGTGATGACAGTCCTGTTTAACCCTTGTCAACTCAGGTCGATCCTACTTATTGACCTCACGGCTAGGAAGGCGCAGACCTCATTTTCCTTTTCATGAAGTTTGACCCCTCCAACTCACACAACAATTCCACCCACAGGCCCGCTGCAGATAGCCGTTTCTATGAAGCAGTAGCCGCCGAAAGCAAATACTGAGATCAGATCTTGACAAATGATTATGTCAAAACATTTGTAATGCAGAACACAAAACAACAGATTTAACCTGTGTAGGTGTGACTGAGTGTATATACATGTTTAATACTCTCAATTATCAAAGCACCTTATTATCATTATGATAACCCATTAAATTAATTCTTTGAATATGATCTACAGGACGCTTGAGAATTGCTCCCCATTACCAGAAAATATAATCTTTATCATCACAATTTGCAGCAGCTTGAATTGTTTTCAGATGTCTGTGTTTATCTGAGACTCTTCAGATAAAAATACACTCCACCAATACAATAAATGGCAGGTAAGCAATACAAATTGTCAGATTAGGAGCAGCAAAGTAATGAAAAACAATCAGATGACTTCGGACACAAGTGAAAACATGCAATCTGGAAATGATGCAAGCCCTGGGCTGCCTGTGTAGTTTGGCTGGCAACTTAAAGAATAGCTAAAATAGGAAATCCTGCACACCCCGTTCCCAACAGGAACCTAAAGAGTAAGACTTTCAAACTTATTCACCAATCGAGTAACAGTGCCTGTATGTGTAATAAAATAAATGACCAGCAGAGAGTGATGTATCACTGGTTGGTTGCTGAACTGGAGCGAGTGAAAACATGAACCATAATGGTCACATACTTGGTTGGACTGCAGTAATCAGGACATCACAAACCCTTTGATCACTCTTAATAGCCCAGGGACATGACTCCCTGTAACACACTCTTGGCTCTAAGACAAACATACATCCACACACACACACACACACACACTTATATTTTCTCAATTAAACTGAATTTATTGACATTATCAAAACTTCATCAAAGCTTTCTGATTTCCTGCAAGCCATTTTCTATCAAAAGTAAATGTTTAGGGTTTGACTTTTTTCATTTTCCATATTTCTCAACAGAGATACTTTATTTTATGTGCAAAGTGACACGTAGATGCAGTACCGACAGAGAGACGGAGGTGGTCAGAGTGACAGCTCGTGGGCTGTGTTGCGTGAGAGTGACTCGGTCTGTTCTCAGACTCTGTGTGGTCTGGGTGTGTGGTCTCCTCCAGCTGACGGGCAGGGAGGAGGATGGGAGAGCCTTGTGAGTGTATATATATGTGTGTGTGTTTGTGTGCGACGTGTGCATGCGCATGCATGTGTGTACGTAAGTGTTTACTTTATCCAGAGTCAGGTCCAGGCCCTCTGTAGCCACAGCTTGACTAGAAAGCTCTGCCTTCCGCCACTCAGCAGCCCTGGTCTGAAGGATAAACACATACTGCCACCGCTCTGACATAGTTCATCTAAGGATAATTTTTATTCACATATACTTTAGGACTTGAAAGGCCTTTAGCTTAGAGGGTCTTAGGTTAATGTATGCTATCTAAAACTATAGCCTTGTTTTACTCCCTGTCCCCAACAGCACTGGATTATTAATTGACAGTTCCTTAATCTTACTTCATGAACTTCATGAAGGTTTTGCACTATAGTTTGATAGTTTTGATACCTGTAGTTGCAACTTTGTATTTGTAACACATATGCATTCAACATGTTTACATGCATTAATCATTTTTATGCATTACAATATTTTAACCCTTATTTTTCTTCTTAGGAACATGACACACTGCATTTCTATATTCTTCTATATTTAATTGATGGCCCGATTCTTATTCTTCTTTTCCATGTGTGCTCTTCCCTTACATTTAAGACATGCATAAACAGGGTGGTTCTCTGACTCAAAACCATGAAAAGTGTGAATAAATATTTGGGATTAGGATGCTAAAAGAGGACATCTCTGTTTGGCACAGAGTTAAATTTTTTTCATTGCATCTGAAATATTTGTCCTGTGTTGGATTAATCTGGGTTTTATCACTCCTTTTTTGCGCGTGAATCAGCAGTTTTATTTTACTTTTGTAGTGTTTTAGTCCTTCTGATTTGCACACGGACCCAATTAAATGAATAAAGGTAATAAGATAAGTTAAAGGTTTTACCATTAAATGACAAGATGATAAATGCAGATTAATGTTAAAGAATATCAGACCTCATCCAACCTCCATCAGTCTTTCATTGTACAGTCATACACATTCAACCCACTGGGCTAAGCTACT